ATATGGCCTCGTGGATCAGATTTGTTGGACACATTCCTAAATGATATAAACGATAAAGAAGAGACAATTACATTTACCATGGAAAAGGAATATAATAACACGCTACCTTTCCTGGATGTTTTAATCTCTAAGAACGATACAAGATATGAGGCTCAGGTGTATAGAAAACCAACACACACCAATAGATATTTAAATTTCAAATCAAATCACAATATTAATGTAAAAAAGGGAATAATTAAATCCTTATACGATAGAGCCAAAATTTCTTGTTCTAACGAAAATTCGTTCTTGGAGGAGAAACATTTGTTAACTTCTGTTTTATTAAAAAATGATTATCCTTTATCGTTTATAAATAAGGAATTTTCAACAATCGATCGAATAGAACAGAACAACTTAGAACGAGATCCTACAGCATACGCAAGGAATAATATGAGGAAAATAACAATACCGTACATAAAAGGACTATCAGAAAAACTTAAAAGGATAGGAAATAAATTTAACATTTTAACAACATTCAAAACAACAAACACGTTGAGATCTATTTTGTCCAAAACCAAACCTAACAATGAACAAGAAAGGACAAAGAATTGCATTTATAAAATACCTTGTGAATGCGATCAGTTTTATTCAGGTGAAACATCAAGGCCATTAAATGTTAGAATAAGTGAACATCAATCTTATATTAAAAATAAGGAATTTGATAGATCTCAAATTTGTAAACACGCATGGGATAATGAACATATAGGTAAGAAAAATCAAAGAAGCGGCTCTAATTATGCTGAATGAGGCCAATTGTGTCGCAAATTCCTCGGCAGAATGTAGTAGGATCTGGTTACCAATATTGAAAGAGGAAGTTATTAATAAGAAAATCCCAGTATTAGTAAGTCAGTAACATATAAAGGATACATCATTTATGTTTTTTAAATGACGTAACATATAAAATCAGAATTTTGATGTGTGTTGAAGGTAAACTAAATTCACGAACAAATACTTACAATGTCGGGATAGTATTATGAGGTTTTTTTTCCTGGTTTTTCCCTCATAATTTACTATGGAATCACTAACAGGAGAATTTTACTTTCATCATGTCATGTGTTTGTCTTTTTAAAGACGAATTACATGCTACGATTTTTTTTCTGACGGATATTCTCAAGTTAAAGTTGATTTCATGTAATCGAATGAACTATCTTATAAGTAAAGTCGTCCCAGGAGCGCAACTCAACAATATTGGCAATATCATTTTAAAGTCGTCTACTTTAAAATGCATAATGTATGTCTGAATTGTCAATATAAATGAGTCAGATAAAATTAAATTATTAGAAGAATTTTTCACTATGTAACAAAAAACAAAATTTGTTTAATTTACTGTTTGTATTTTGAGAACGATTTCCGAAGTGGAAATTGAAACGTCAATAAACGTATTTTTATCGTTAATTGTGGCTTATTCCCAGTTTAATGGTGGTATCTCTGTTATTCTCTGGTGCATAGATTGCTATTACATTCAGAGATTTGACATCCAGTTTAACTTTTACACTTACCATACCTGCAGAGGTATATTTACATTCCTGTACTTGGTGTAAAAATGTTCTGTGTATTAACAGGACGACTTCTTCTGTGGCTCCGGTTTTTTTTCACAACAACACTGTAAATCATCAGATCTAGCATAATTTGATCCTTTCCTTTTTCTTCCTCTCTTGTAGTGCACATATTTCTAAATTTTTTCCTACAAGCTTTTTTGTAATTTCCTGCTCTCTTGTGTTTAGAGACTTTACGTCCAAGTACCGATGCGAAGAATATTTCTCGCTTTCCATAAATTCGTTGTCCTCTTTCTCGCGTTAGTCGTCGTAATGAAATCATTACTGTTTCGAGGCATAATCCAGTTTCTATGAGCTGTATGGTTGTAAAATCTATCAGTAGGGTGTTAACCTGGCTGTAGACCCCCTTCCTGCTTTATCTGGGTTTGGGACTGGCAACAGTTCTGTCTAGCAACTCGATCCACCCAACAAACCTGCAGTAGTTAACAGGGAAAACTGGAAGAAAATAAACCTTTGTGTCGATTTATAATTGGTAATAGTGAAACTTTAACAATCCTTACAGACATGAATACAAATCAATCGATAGGAATATATGCTTCCTAATATATTCCTCTAAAAAAAAACTAACAAGTAATTTGTAGTTGGTAAAAAGTATTATACTGGGCTTATGTATTATTCAGTATATAAGTATTATTTGAATAATTGATGGATTCGACCGTTACTTCATGGAAATTCATTTTATGTAACAATAACACACTGAAAACTTTGTTTTCAAACTTCCACAAAATTTATTTTAAATCTTATCACTACAGCTGTTTCGGCTGATTGTCTTTCTCAAGTGATCTATTTTTGGCTTGGGTTTACAAATTTATAGTCTCTAATGAAATAGGTTGAGGAGAGGAGAACTGTTTGTCTCAAATTGGTCATTCAGAATTATATCTGTGTTTTTTAATTTGTTGATTTCCATATATTCTAACAAAGATAGCTTAAGACCTTTATTTTGAATGTGAAGAATTTTAAATTTGTCATTAAAAGAATGATTATGATCTAGAAGGTGAAGTGCGTATGTCGAATCTGTTTTTCTATTCTTGAAAGCCCTTTTATGTTCTACTATTCGTTTGTCAAAGTTTCTACAAGTTTGGCCGATGTAAGTTTTTGGGCAGTCGCCACATTGAAGTTTGTACACACCACTATTTAAGTGTTTTTTATTTTGGCTCTTGTTATTTTTAATATATTTGCCTAGGTTGTTATTTGTTCGGAAAGCTGATGTTATTCCTTTCTTTTTTATGTGTTTGGCAATTTTTGTTGTTATTTTGCCTGTATATGTAATCGAGCAGAAGGTACTGGGTTTTTTCTCTGGTGGTGGAAATACTAATTTCAGGGCTTTCTTGTGTAGTTTTTGACTTAACATTTTATTAATTATTTGTTCAAGGTAGAAACTTTGATAAACGAATAGCAGAACATAAAAGGGCTTTCAAGAATAGAAAAACAGATTCGACATACGCACTTCACCTTCTAGATCATAATCATTCTTTTAATGACAAATTTAAAATTCTTCACATTCAAAATAAAGGCCTTAAGCTATCTTTAGAAATTAGAATCTATGGAAATCAACAAATTAAAAAACACAGATATAATTCTGAATGACCAACTTGAGACAAATAGTTCTCCCCTCCTCAACCTATTTCATTAGAGACTATAAATTTGTAAACACAAGCCAAAAATAGATCACTTGAGAAAGGCAATCAGGCAACAGTAAATTTACTGTTTGTATTTTGAGAACGATTTCCGAAGTGGAAATTGAAACGTCAATAAACGTATTTTTATCTTTAATTGTGGCTTATTCCCAGTTTAATAGTAATTAAAAATAATACCTATGTAAAAATTTTATACATTTTTGAACGTTATTTTTTTATTTAGATTTAGTGCAATTTTGTTATCTGTACTGGCAACAACGAATTGATTTCTGAACACAGGTTTACATTGAGAAAAAAAAAAGTGTACCAGTTTTATATGACGGGAAGTGTACCTACCTACGTATAATAGACGTGACTAACTTTCGTTAATATTAATTAAGTTATTCTCAAATTGTTACGAAAATATTTTAATTCATATCTGAAAATAAATGTATTTTAGCCATTCGAAACTCGAAAACCCACAATGGAATCAATTAAAATGGCGATTGAAAAAACTAAACAACTTGAAATCAACCGTCACAAAATTGTCGCAACGTCCGATCACCTTAAACTTCAATCGGTTAATGATGCTTCAACGTCTACCGCTTCACGCAAAGGAAAAATGAAAAAAATATTGATGCCAAAAGTGAACAAAACTGATAGAACTCAAAATGCGATTGTACGCAGTAACAAAAATTCTAATAAAGTTAAAAAGGGTAAAAATTCAGAAAAAGTTAAATTTAAAAGTAAAATAAAAGTATAGTCAGGAGTTGTGTTTTATTTAACAACTGATAGTTTAAGAAATTCATTTTATTTGCAATTCTCCAGCAGGTAACGAGTTTTATTCCATTAAAAATATTCCGAAACTGTACACAGCAGGTGTCGAGTTTTGCCAAGAGTACCTTTTTGGTGTAAAAGTGTATGACGTTTAAGCTCACTTAGAATTTTGATTAATAATTCTACTCAAGAAAGATGTTGAACAATACTTTGGTACGAATCTTGTAACTAGTGCTCTCTATGAGAGTCAGATATAAAAACAAATTCAAGAGACGTAGGTACTCATCTTATTAGTTTCCAAAACATATTCATATAAAATTTCATTACGAAGTTGCCGGTAGGTACTTTCGGCAAAATCCTAAAAAAATGTGCAACTTTTTTTTCTTCAACGCCCTTTATTTTGAAAACGAATAGAGTTACAAACGTTTTTTACTAAGCAAACCCCAATTATTTTTCAGATTTTACCTATCCTACAGACGGTGTTACCTTTTTTGAATAGCCCTGTAGATACGTAGGTACATAAAAACATTTTTGTCCGAAAACGTTGAAAGTATATAGTATCTAACTTCTTTTTTATGCTGTTTTGAAGTTGTACATAGAAAGAATATGCTAAAAATACACTACTTATCAAAAAAAGCAGTTATGTATTTCGAAATATTTTTTCGAAATGTTTTAAATATTAAAAAATCAATGTCCCGTTTGAGCTCTTATGATGAAAACTACCTGTATTATTTTAAGATTTTTTATTCAGTGATTTTAATATTTTCAGTTTTAGATGAATTTCTTAAAGACTGACCTGTTTAGGTATGTTATTTAGGAATTCTGTTACATATATTCCTGATTTACTACCTTATAAAGTTTTACAATTCCGTGCATAGTAAATGAACAAAATTAATACTGTCAATGTCAGCTTGACGGCTTTATAGCACATGCGCTTTCTAATCATATCTCGTAAACTCTTACAAACTAGTGTAAACTTTAACACAGAAGTATAAGTATGTAGTGATAGTAAGTGGCGATGAGGGTTTTGCTTTAATTCCCGAAGTATATTAAAAATGTCCACTTTTATGTGGTCGTGTCCGTGTTGCTTACGCTTCAAATTCAGCCCCGAAGAGCTGGAGCAGCGCTACAAAAGTCACGAAATTGACAAAATGATTGAAAAGGACAGACAAGCGATGAAAAGGCAGGTCAAACTCCTCTTGTTAGGCGCTGGGGAGAGTGGGAAATCAACATTTCTTAAGCAAATGCGAATAATCCATGGAATCAAATTCGAAAACCATCTTGTAAAAGAATATCAACAAGTGATTTACCAAAACTTAGTGAAGGGGATGAGGGTACTAGCGGACGCACGGGATAAGTTAGGAATTCCGTGGGGTGACAATAATAATAGTGAGTACGGTAAAAAGTTGCTCGAGTTTGATAGTAAAACGGTGCTGGATTCTAAAAACTTTAATCAATTTAGTCCTCTTTTATCCAAACTGTGGAAAGACAATGGAATAAAAAGGGCTTACGAGCGGCGGAGAGAGTTTCAGTTGGTAAGTGTTTGCAAAAACGATATTTTATATGGTTAGTTAAAATAAAAAAAATAAAAGTCGTAAGTAAGTATATTATTATAGAAGGTTTTGCTATAATATCCAATTTAAATAAAACATAACCTAGTTGAACAGATAAGAAGTGTAAACATTGTATTTTATCCAAATAATGACACTACTGGTCATTCATTATGTTTCCAGCACTTTGTTGGAATGTGTTCTACTTTTAAAAGGATTCCTGTTGTATCTAAATTAAGAAAATGTTATTGTTTATCAAGCATATGTTATTAGCTTAGTCACACTTGTCAAAATTATAGGAATAGGTCAAGATCTTTCAAAATAGCTTTCCAAATAACCAATTTCTGATCACTTTAAATACCAAGCAAATAGTTGAAGTAGGTTTATTTGTTTAAGTGATCTTTATATACAAAAGAAATAAAAGTAAATTAAGTTCTTATGCATATAGCAATTTTGCTGAGAGATCTTGTTTCTAAATGAAATGTTTATACATTTATATAGAACATTCTATGAAATCTTTTGATTTTATTGTAGACTAATTTTTGAAAGTTTCTTTCTTTGCCTGAATTATTAGGTATTATCTGGTGTCACAAAGTATTGCCTAATTGCTACAACAATTTTTGAGTATTTATGTTTAACAAACTTTACCTTCTTATTTATATTTATAGTTGAAAAACATTTTCAACCTTTTCCTATTACCTTTTCGTTGTAAAATAGTAAAGTAGAAGAAATCTTAATTAAATATTAATAATTAACTCAAAATAATTTTTATGTGAGCACATAATATTGAATTTTTTTCTTTACTTTTTGGCCTTTAATGTCATTGGTATTTTACCAATTATTAGAAAAAAAAACATTGCATTTGAATAAACTTTGAATTTTTCTAATATTTTTTTAACACTGTAATTCTACCTTTCAGCTGGTTTTGTGTAGTTTTGAATCACAACTGCTTTCATCAGAAAATGGAAGTTGTGTGATTCTAGTATGAATAAACATTATTTGTGTAAAAAGCCAGCAATGTTGACCATTGTCTAATTACTTCTTTAGTTATATACCTATTATCTACTTAATATCCTCTTTTGGGATTTTCAGTTTTATGATTTTTGACATCTTACCTTTTCTGATAGGATTCTAAATTTAAAAAGCAATAGAAATGTTGTTAGTTAGTTAAACAAGTTGTTAGTTGTTTTACTGGTATTATATTCTTCATTTTGTTTCCCAATTGTAACTTTTCATTTGTATATTATAAGTTTGACCAAGTGTTTCTGGCAGTGGTCCACTTAGAATTTTCCTGTGGGGGGAGGGGGTTTGTTGGATACCGAAATTTTTTTATGGTACCTAAATTTTGAGTCCTTAAAATTTGTAAGTAACAGTGTTGGAGTCGGAATAGTGCCCTGGGGAGGGGTAGGTTTAACCCACAAAAACCACTCCCCTTGGGTGCGTCACTGGTTTCTGGGTTCACAGTTTATTTTGACAATACGATGATTGGGTTAAGATATTTAATATTGGCTAAATTGATTAAAGGACAGTAAGATAGTTGTGTAGTAACAATTACTAGATCTTAAAATTTGAAAATTAATATGCTGTAGTTCACTCACATTGATGGGGCACATAGGCAGTGATTTGTTGTTAGTTATATAATCAATAATAAGTGGAAAAATTAAACAACAATAAACTGTGAAATGCTACTTTGGTTTTATAGTCTAGGATTATAAATCTGTAATAATCATAAAATAACAAGATATTGTAGTCAATTCAGTACAATATAGGGTCACCTAGGATTAGTGTGACGTAAAAATATGCAAATTTAATTTGAAAATAAAAGAAAAATTGTTTTTAAGTGAATGGTTTCAGATTTTTAATTAGATTTTCTTGTGAATTGTCACAATCATTGCACAGTGAATAGGCATGTTGCATTTTTAAAATTCATTTTACATTATGTTTTATTTAAGAGGGTAAGGTGTCACACTATCCCTTCATCATGGGGTTACTGTGACTAGGATTATGGATAGTGTGACAATTAGTTTTTTTGCCATTTAAATGCACCTAGGATTGAGTGTGCCTTGGTGTGATAAAGAAAGACATCACAAAAATATTGTAATAATTTTTGGCATTTTTTTTTTATTAAATTTAGGTATTTTATTAAGAACCTTTTCTTATTTTACAAATTCAGTAACATCTAAACTTCAAAAACATCAACTTTTTTAGTAAAAGGACACCAAATTCTTTCACCATTAAGAGATAATATTGGATCCATCCATATTCCTATAATCTAAGACATTCTAATAAATGAACTGTCTTTTTAATTAAAAGCAAAAAAGTCTTTTGATCCTTATCAACACTTCTTAATCCTACAACTTCTATTTCATCTTTAGTGTCATCATAGTTTTCAATTACACACACATACCTAAAAGTAGTTTTACCACGCTTCCCACACATACTTAAAAGTTGCAAATATAAAAAAGCCTTGTTTAATATCTTCCTCGTTTGACAGGTTTTAATGTCACAGTTTCTTCTATGAATTCCTCTTCTGCTTCGTCACTTTCCCCTAAAGACATATCTTCTATCTCCTCATCACTAATTGATTCATCTTTCTTTGACTTTTTCTTGATTGTTTTTGGACAGTTTTTCTATTTTCCTTTAATGAACTCAGCCTTTTTTGTCTTTAGAGAACTGATGTATTACTTATTCTTTTGTTATTATTTCTGTAGTATCAATTCTTCAATTAACTTTCTTTTTTACACTAGTTTGAACTATCTTTTCCAGAAGCATATGCTCAAACACTTTCCCTCGTGTTTCTTTTCACACAGAAAGTTCGGTGATTTGACACCCTTGTAATGAACTGGAGGACTGGTTAGTGATTTGATTCTCTTTTAATAGAATAATAGATGATGAACCAGTGATCCCTTGCTCTTCTGATGGACTGGAGGTTGGGGGAGTAACAGCATCCTTTGTTATAATCGTGGATATGGTATTAACAATTATTGAATGTTTTTGGACTTTGCATTTGATAGACTTTTTAAATATCTTCAGTTTATCAGGATGATAATTTTCTTCTTTAGTGGCTAATCTGTTAACACGTGATAAGCCATTTGGATCATAAATGCCCATTTACTTAAAACCACTTACAAGCCATGATGAGTCTATTGCTTTCCATGCCAGTTCTAAAACATTTGAAAAATCACTTTTAGATAACTTCTGCCCAATATAATGCCGAACCCAATTGGTTAGAAGTTGATCTCACATACTTTTTAATCCTTGGAAGACACCAACATCTAATGGTTTTAAGATATGAGAAGTATGGGGAGGTAGTTTCAAAATTGACACATTATTTTCTAGTACTGTTTCTAATAGTTTAACGCTAATATTAGACAGATGACTATCATAAATTAAAATAACTGTTCGTTGTGTAACAACCTAAAAACACTTCTTAAACCACATAAGAAAAACCACCTCTGCCCTTTTCAGTTGTGTAAAATAATGTCCCTGGAAATGGGATGAGGAAAAACATCCCAAATTCTCTTCCTCTTATGAATTATTGCAGGGGGTAGAATTTCCCCTTTAGCATTTCCACATGCCAAGACTGTTGTTGTCTCTCGTCTGCTACCTTAAGTTAATCTTTTTGCAGGCTGACCATTCTTGCATACAGTTTTGGTTGAGCTAGGATCATTATTAAACACAGTTTCATCACTGTTCCAACGAATTTCAGGCTTGTTTTCTAGACCTAAAGCATGGATAAGTTCACCAAGCAGGTAAAAAAAAATGATTAACAATAAAAGGATCTCCAACTTGTCTTGACCAGTTCAGATCTTTAACCCTCTAAACGTTCAGATGTCTTAAGAAAAATTTTATTACGATCTTTAAAATTTCTCAACCAATCATCCCTGGGTCGACATTTTTAAAAGGGACAGTAAGGTTGTTTTTCTGCACAATTCTATGAATCCTTGCACAATGTCTTTCACCTCTTCTTTAGTGAGTCCAAAACCCCATTATTCATACACTTAGATATTTAACAAGTTGTTCTTCATAAATTGCAGAAATTGCTGGACTTTTTCCACCACTACCAGAATTTATTGCAGATGTCCTTGGTTTCCTTCCACCCTATCCTTTAGTTTTTAATATAGAATAAGGTAGATCCTGGAATTTTATAATGTTTAGATGCTTGGTAAGCTGACATTTGCCCTGATAAAATGTTGTTCCACCTAGTAGCACATTCTTGGATAATCTTAAGAGGTTTTTGATTAAGCCTTTTTTGTATATTGGGCAGCTCATCTTGGGCAGCAGTTGAATGATGATAATGAGTTGCCATCTTTTTGCATTTTCATATGGCATCCACAACATATTCTTGAGCCTTCATCCCTGCTTTTAACACCTTTTTCATATTAGCACCTGACTTGTGAACTACACATTTCACTTTTGCTTTAAGTACTTCCCAAAACAAATTACTTAATTCTGCAAAATTGCTGAATTACTAAATTTATCTGAACTTATCTAACTACACACCTCAAGCAAATGAGACAGCGGGCAGTGCCGGAGACCACGGTACAATGAACACAAGTGATGAGCAACTCTGCTATCAACAGATCAAGTAACCTTATGTAGAGTCATACGTCGCCATGTTACTGATTCCACTGGTAACTTAAACATCTTAACTTTTAAGAACATAATAATGTAACAAAAATTTAAATTAACAACATTTAACAGGTTTTTACCCATATATTTTATTGGCTCAAAACATGTATGCTTAGTTACACTGATGATCGAATTTACATTCCGAAAACATTCTATAAACGTTCCGATTTTAAATAAAAAAATTTTGTGATACATGGTATACAGCCAGCTACAGGAAGTTAGTGGATGAGAAAGTTTTAATTAAATAATAATGATAATAGTCTAAAATCTCACATAATTGTTAAAAAACTTGAATATAAATAAGCTTTTATGTGACATTTGTGACAAACAATAACATAACCAACTAGACTTGA